CCCGCCGCATTTCCCCTGCTCTAGTAGCTGCTAACCTGGCAGGCTGGGGTGTAAGGGTTTGCGGAGCTGAGCAATTGCTGGGAAGTAAACGCTCACTGGGCTTGTGTCTGAAAGTTCTGGGTTTCATTCCTGGCCCTGCCTCTGAACTGTGAGCCTGGGGCACGTCACCTCCGATAGACTGTTCATCCGGAAAACGGGGGTGGGGGGTGAAACCAGTCACTTATGTGAAAGTGCCCTGCAGGGTCTGGCATATGGAGGCGGCCCTGGACGAGCTCTGGGTCAGAGGAGACCAGTGTGGCACCCTGATGCCAGGCTAGGAGGGTGCCCGGGAGGGAGGTGCTGGGAGGCGTCCAGCAGTGACCGGTTCCCTCCCCACCCCCACCCCCATCCCACCCCATCCTCCCAAGCCCCTCCTCCCATTCCACCCGCCCACCCCCACCCAGGCGGGCACCCCTGCCCTTCCCTGCCCTTCCTCACCTGCCCTGGCAGAAGGAGCAGCTGGACGCACCTCCCAGCTGCCTCCCTGTCTGTGTCCTGCGTGACAGGAGGAGAAATTAATTATTAATCACCAGGTTAATGGAGCAGGCGGGGTGCAGAGGTGGTGGGGCGCTGCCTCCAGCCCGGGTGACCCCGGGGGTGGGGGGAAGAGGGGCACAGGCCACCCCCCGCAGCTCCCTACTCTGCACTGTGCTGGCGGGGTGCTGGTACTGGGTGTTAAGTCACTGTGGCCTCCGCAGTCCTCCCTACTGTGACCTCCCCCGCAACCACTGGCTCACTGCCCTCGGCCCCCAGCATCCTCTGCACCCCTCACCCCCAGATGCTTCCCACATGCCTGCGGCTCCCTGGGCCCTGGGTGCAGGGCCTGCGGTGCTGTGAGATGTGAGTGAGTGAGAAGGTGACGCCTCCCCCAAACCATAACCCTCCCCACTGAGAAGACTAGGCCACCTCAGACTCACCGCCCACCCCCCACACACCCCATTTCCTGTCCTGAACCTGCCCAGTTTCACCGAGGTCAGGAGGTAGAGAAGGTCAGCCTCTTGCCTTCCAGAAAGTGGAACTCTCTGCAATGATGGAAATGTCCTATATCGGTAAGGCCCCTTGCAGTAGCTAGTGAGTGAGTGAGTGAGTGAGTGAGGTCATTCAGTCGTGTCCGACTCTTTGCCATGCCATGGTCTGTAGCATGCCAGGCTCCTCTGTCCATGCTAGCGAGCACTCCAAATGCTTAACTTGTGAAACTGAGGAATTTTTTTTATTTCATCTTATTTTTATAAACTTAAATTTATTTATTTGGCCATGCCGGTGACTTGCGGGAACTTAGCTCCCCAACCAGGGATTGAACCTGGGGCCCCAGCAGTGGAAGTGGGGAATCCTAACCACTGGACCACCAGGGAATTCCCTGAGCTGAAATTCAACTCCCCACAGGTGGCCAGTAGCTCTAGGCATGCCCCATCACTCCTCCATTAGCCCCTCCCCCCAAAACAAATTGTTCTGGAAAAGATCAGTAAAATTAATGGTAATAAGAGATGTGTAACTAACATGTGGTTACAAGCCTCTTTTTGGTGCGCTCCAAAAATCTGGGCTCCAAAATCACCTCAGATGGTGACCGTAGCCATGAAGTTAAAAGACGCTTGCTCCTTGAAAGAAAAGCTATTACAAACCTAGACAGCATATTAAAAAGCTGAGACATTACTTTACCGACAAAGGTCCGTATTGTCAAAGCTATGGTTTTTCCAGTAGTCACGCACAGATATGAGAATTGGACCATAAAGAAGGCTGAGCACTGAAGAATTGATGCTTTTGAACTGTGGTGTTGGAGAAGACTCTTGAGAGTCCCTTGGACAGCAAGGAGATCCAACCAGTCCATCCTAAAGGAGATCAGTCCTGAATATTCATTGGAAGGACTGATGCTGAAGCTGAAACTCCAATATTTTGGCCACCTGATTTGAAGAGCCAACTCATTTGAAAAGACCCTGATGCTGGGAGAGACTGAAGGCAGAAGGAGAAGGGGATGACAGCAGATGAGATGGTTGGATGATGGACATGGGTTTGAGCAAGCTCCCGGAGATGGTGAAGGACAGGGAAGCCTGGCGTGCCGCAGTCCATGGAGTTGCAAAGAGTCAGATGTGACTGAGCGACTGAACAACAGCTAATATACGACAGAGCAGCACTACCTTCCTCCTCGGGGTCAGGGCTTCACACTAAAGCAGCAGCTTCACAGACTGGCAGTAGGTTCAGGGGGCCGGGCGATCTCCCAGTACCTCAAGGCCTTGTTCTGTGAAGGCCACTCCTGAGGTCAAAGCCTTCGTGGGTGTCAGGAGAGCTCCCCCAATTCTGACCATCAGACCACCAGTGGAGATGCTCCAGAATTTCGGTGTATCCTGTCTCCAAATCCCAAGGAATTCTCCTTTCTTGAACTCCCCAGTCATGAGGTCAAGGAGGTCACTTAACATTTACTGTGGGCCCCACCTGCCAGCCCTGTTCCCCCAGCCCCCCAACTCCAGTGCTTCACCAACGCCCACCGCCTGTCCCTTTTACTCACCTGCACCCTCTCAGCCGCCCCTTAGGGTTCAAGGGGTCAGACCGGGGGAAAGCTCGGGGATCATGTGGGCAGATTTGCCCCCCACAGTCCGAGTCCTTTGGACTGCAAGGAGATCCAACCAATCCATCCTTAAGTAAATCAGTCCTGAATATTCATTGGAAGGACTGATGCTGAAGCTGAAACTCCAATACTTTGGCCATCTGATTCGAAGAACTGACTCAATGGAAAAGACCTTGATGCTGGGAAAGCTTAAAGGCCGGAGGAGAAGGGGATGATGGAGGATGAGATGGTTGGATGACGTCACCGACTCAGTGGATATGAGTTTGAGCAAGCTTCAGGAGTTGGTGATGGACAGGGAAGCCTGGCCTACTGCAGTCCATGGGGTTGCAAAGAGTCGGACATGACTGAGCGCCTGAACTGAACTGAACTGAACCTGCCAGCAGGTAAAAGGTCACTGTGTATGTCCTGCCAGGTTTTGCCTTATGTGCAGTGGAGGCTCTGTTGTGACTTCTGACCCCTGGTGCTGTCCCTGCAGTGCGTGGAGTGGAGTGAAATGGGGGAGGCCCCACCGAAGGCTGAGATCCCAGGGACGAGGCCACAACAACAGCCGGATGGAACAGCCCATGACCATCCCCACAGTCCCGAGCCTGTGGGGGCAAATCTGCCCACGTGAACCCTGAGCTTTCCCCAGCTCTGACCTGCTGAACCCCAAGGGGTAGCTGAGAGGGTGCAGCTGGGTGAAAGGGACAAGCAGTGGGCACTGCTGCAGCACTGGGTCGGGGGGCTGGGGGAACAGGGCTCTGACCCTGGTTGGTCACTGAAGACTTAGGTGTTGACACGTACTTTCTGTGCCTCAGTTTCCCCAGTTGTAAACGCCATTAATGATAACCGTCTGGTCTGCCTCCAAGGGTTGCTATAGGGTTCAAATCAGATAACTGATGTCATTCATTAATCTGTTCATTTATTGTTTGTTAAGAAAATGCCTTGAACTTCCCTGGTGGTCCAGTAGTTAAGACTGTGCAGGGCATGTAGGTTTGATCCCTGGCCAGGGTACGAAGATCCCACATGCTTCACAGTAAAGCAAAGCAAAAAAAAAAAAAAAAGAACTTGTTGGGAACATGGAAATGAATCTTTCCAGTGGCAGCAGAAAGATCTAGAAGAACCCCCTGCCTCTGGCAGCTTAAACACCAAATCCTGGAAGGGGAGATTGGGAGAGAATGGATACATGTATGTGTATGTCTGAGTTCCTTTGCTATCTACTTGAAACTATCACAACATTGTTAATCAGCTCAGTCGCTAAGTTGTGTCCAACTGTCTGCAAACCTGTGGACTGCAGCATGCCAGGCTTCCCTGTCCTTCACCATCTCTTGAAGCTTGCTTAAGTTCATATCCACTGAGTCTGTGATGCTATTTAACCATCTCATCCTCTGCTGCCCCCTTCTCCTCCTGACCTCAATCTTTCCAGCATCAGGGTCTTTTCCAATGAATCGACTCTTCGTACCAGGTGGCTAAGGTATTGGAGCTACTGCTTTAGCATCAGCCCTTCCAGTAAATATTCAGGGTTGATTTCTTTTACGATTGACTGGTTTGATCTCCTTGCTGTCCAAGGGACTCTCAAGAGTCTTCTCCAGCCCCACAGTTCAAAAGCCTCAATTCTTCAGTGCTCAGCACTCTTTATGGTCCAACTCTCACATCTGTACATGACTACTGGAAAAACCATTGCTTTGATTATACGGATGTTTGTTGGCAAAATGACGCCTATGCTTTTTAATATGCTGTCTAGGTTTGTCGTAGCTTTTCTTCCAAGGAGCAAGCATCTTTTAATTTCATGGCTGCAGTCACCATCTGATGTGATTTTGGAGCCCAAGAAAATAAAATCTGTCTCTGTTTCCATTGTTTCCCCATCTCTTTGCCATGAAGTGATGGGACCGGATGCCATAATGTTAGTTTTTTGAATGTTGAGTTTTGAGCCAACTTTTCCACTCTCAGTTATATTCCAATATAAAACAAAAAGTTAAAAAAAAAAAAATCAAACCCTGGCATGTGTACATACAGGCTCAGCACCAGCCCTCCTCAAACCCTGTGGAGGCCTTCTTAGGGAGGAGGAGGGGGAGGGAAGGACCTGGAGGGAGCAGGGAGGGGTGTCTGCAAGGGTGGTGGAAGGAGGAGGAGGGTGATGGGGAGGAAGCTGTAAGCTCACCAATCCCGGCAGAGCTGCTGGTTCCAGCAAGTCCCGCCCAGTTGCCCCGTGCAGGTCGGGGGAATTGTCTAGCTGGGTGTGACTTGACTGCCCACGTCTGCCAGCCTGCTCTCAGACGTCTCAGCACCATCTTCTCTGTCCCTGCCTCCACTTCCTCTCACTTCCTCACTCCCAGCCTCACCATCACTTTCTACTTTGCCTGTCTCCTCCCAGCCTCAGCAAGGTGGGTTTGGAAATGGAGAAGCCTGCTGGGAAACCGTCATGAAGCCCCAGCGGGAACCAGCTTACTCCTCACTTCCGGCCCAAGCTCCTCACTTCCGGCCCAAGCGCCTCACTTCCAGTCCAAGCTTCCGGGTCCTCTCCCTGTGGCAGAGACTCCACCAACAGTGCCTGGAATTGCCTGGTCTGATGGTTGGTCCTTCCCTGCAGATGAGGGGCTGGGCCTGGGCGAGAGGGTGGGGTCCGGTCATCTGTGCAGGTGCTGGGCTGGGACCCTGGGCACAGTGGGTGGTGGACCAGGCCATGTGGTCAAAATGGGCTGGGACCAGGAAGGCAGAGGTAACGGAACGGTCGGGGGAGGCCAGCCTCATCTGCGCTTCCGGGTGGTCAGCAAGTTTCCTCTAACAGAGGCTGGCACATCAGTCTGATGCCCCGGAGCACAGACTTAACCTTGTCTTGTTAGGTTTCTCCCAACGGGCTGGGAATTTCCCAAACATATGGGCGTCTTCCCTCTTCATCTCACACCCTCCACCCTTGGAGTTCGATCAGTGCTCACTGAGCCCCTGCCAGGCCGTGGGCCAGGCCTGCTGGGGGAGGGGGCAGGGTGCCGGGTGCTCCCGGGCATCCTGAATGGCTCACCGAGCCAGTCTGGCCCCCGTTGTGCCAGTTACCAAGCTTGGCCTCCTGGGCACACAGTGCTGGGTAAAGCTCATGGGCCGTCTTCTGTGCAGCTGGTCAAACATCCCTGTCCACCACTCCATCACCTTCTGGGACGTGCATGGACCAGAATCCCTCTCTTGGGATGTTTGGATGAGCCTGTTAGCACAGACAGAAGTAGGTGGAGGTCCCGCAGCTGATGGTCGACCCAGCAAGGTCCCGTTGCTTTGCCCTTCCCACCCCCTGCTCCCTAGATGGTTCCAGCCAGAGGTCAGCCAGTCCCCTCAGGGGGTTGGGCACCTACTGTGTGCAGAGCTGGGTGCTCAATGTGTGGAAATCACCTTTCGTGTTGCTGCCCATCATCCCTTCCCCTTAATTCTGGCAAAAGCATTCCACTTCTGACTCACTCCCTGTAGTCTGTTAGGGTTCCTGTAAGTCTCATTGCTGGGAGGAAGCACATGGCCCAGGCCTGGCCAGTGCCAGACGTAACACCCCCCTCCCCCCACCCCATGGGCCGCAGTAATCAGTGCAGAGATCAGCATCAAAGTTTTTGCTGAAACTAGTGGGGGGAAAACTCTGCTGCTGGTGGGACTTATGAAGCTGGGGTGGCTGGTGGGCATCTTGCCACACAGGAGGAGAGCCAAGGCAGGGAATCAAGAGAGACTAATTCCCTTGAGGGCCTAAAGCGACTGAGCCTAGAACTGTCCAGCATCTACATTTCGTTTCAGTTAATTCAAGTTGAATTTTCTGTCACTTGGAGCTGAAAGAGAGGAGGGTGTAGGGAGAAATAAAGAGAGGAAGTGAAGTGGTTTCTACCTTCAGAAAGGTCCCAGGCTGCAAGGAAACATGGTTCCTTCCTGGGGTCTCTGAACACATGATCTTTCATTTTTAAACTTTTGTATGTGTGAAGTATACATTCAGAAGTGTTCTTATACTTTTAATTTCTCTACCAAGCAATACATATTCATAATGAAAAATATTATGACAGCAAAAAAAAGGGGGGGGGTGGTCCATTGTAGGCCATTGTTATTATTTTTTCTAAGTGTTTAAAAATGATAGTAGGGTCATACTGTACATATCACTATTTTCCTCCTCACCTAACAGAACATGGAGATCTTTGGGAACACAAAAAGAAACCACTAGGAGACAAGTTTCATGGCATGACGGAATCCACAAACACCTCATCCCCTAGCCTCCCATTTTGTTGCAGGAAGGGACACAGGAGGCCCTCTGTGGACAAAAAGTGGTGATTTTTTTCCACCATGTCACCTTCAGGGAGGTCTAAAAAACACAAAATTCAAGTCCAAATATTATCGCTCAGTTGTGTCTGACTGTTTGCAACCCATGTAGCTCACCAGGTTCCTCTGTCCATGGGATTCTCCAGGAAAGAAACTGGAGTGGTTGCCATTCCCTCCTGCAGGGGATCTTTTCGACCCAGGGATCAAACCCGTGTCTCCTGCCTTGCAGGTGGAATAGTATTCATTAATTCACTCATCTAAAGTGTAAATGCCAAAGAATGCGCAAACTACCACATAATTGCACTCATCTCACATGCTAGTAACGTAATGCTCAAAATTCTCCAAGCCAGGCTTCAACAGTATGTGAACCATGAACTTCCAGATGTTCAAGCTGGTTTTAGGAAAGGCAGAGGAACCAAAGATCAAATTACCAACATCCGCTACATCATCAAAAAAGCAAGATAGGTCAGAAAAACATCTACTTCTGCTTTATGATTATACCAAAGTTTTTGACTGTGTGGATCACTACAAACTGTGGAAAATTCTTAAAGGGATGGGAAAACCAGATCAACTGATCTGCCTTTTGAGAAGTCTGTTTGCAGGTCAGGAAGCAACAGTTAGAACTGGACATGGAACAACAGACTGGTTCCAAATAGGGAAAGGAGTACGTCAAGGCTATATATTGTCACCCTGTTTATTTAACTTATATGCAGAGTACATCATGAGAAATGCTGGGCTGGATGAAGCACAAGCTAGAATCAATATTTCTAGGAGAAATATCAATAACCTCAGATATGCAGATGACACCACCCTTATGGCAGAAAGTGAAGAAGAACTAAAGAGCCTCTTGATGAAAGAAGAGAGTGAAAAACCTTACTTAAAGCTCAACATTTAGAAAACTAAGATCATTGTATCTGGTCCCATCACTTCGTGGGAAATAGATGGGGAAACACTGGAAACAGTGAGAGACTTTATTTCTGGGGGCTCCAAAATCACTGCAGATGGTGACTGCAGACATGAAATTAAAAGACACTCGCTCCTTGGAAGAAAAGTTATGACCAACCTAGATAGCATATTAAAAAGCAGAGACATTACTTTGCCAACAAAGGTCTGTCTGGTCAAGGCTATGGTTTTTCCAGTGATCATGTATGGATGTGAGAGTTGGACTATAAAGAAAGCTGAGCACTGAAGAATTGATGCTTTTGAACTGTGGTGCTGGAGAAGACTCTTGAGAGTCCCTTGAACTGCGGGGAGATCCAACCAGTCCATCCTAAAGGAAATCAGTCCTGAATATTCATTAGAATGACTGATGCTGGAACTGAAACTCCAATACTTTGGCCACCTGATGCCAAGAACTGACTCATTTGAAAAGACCCTGATGCAAAAAAAAAAAGACTCTGATGCTGGGAAAGATTAAAGGCAGGAGGAGAAGGAGACAACAGAGGATGAGATGGTTGGATGGCATCACTGACTCAATGGACTTAAGTTTGACTAAACTCCGGGAGTTGGTGATGGACAGGCAGGCCTGGTGTGCTGCAGTCCATGGGGTCACAAAGAGTCAGATGTAACTGAGTGACTGAACTGAACCGAACTGAACTGAAATTGTAAATATTTCAGTGCCTCCTGTATGCCAGGCACTGAAATATTTACATGCTCAGGGTATGATGAGTAAAACCAGACATAGTGTTTCTTCTTGTGGAGCTTATCGGAGGGTGAGGGAAAGCCGTTCATCAAATACTCGCCTAACAAATGCCACACATGGGCTCTGACCACTGCGCTAAGCACACACCTTGGGAGGATTGGACCCCCTCGGGGGGGCTTTCCCGAGGAAGCAGGCTTTGGGCTGGAATCAAAGGGATGAAAGGTGTTGACAGGCCAAGGGAGGGAGGCGAGAGTTTCACAAGGAGGAGCAGCACAGGATGGGTGCCGTAGCTGGAGAGAGGCGGTAAGTGTGTGTGAAGGTCAGTGTGGCTGGAGTAGAGGAAGGGAGAGGGTGTGTCTCGTGACACATGATTACAGGCAGCAGACAGAAGTCAGAGCCAGGTGGAGTGGGACCCTGAAAACCACATCAGTAAGTTTTATCTTTAAGGACCAAGGGAAGTTGCTGGAGTTTTCCTGAGCAGGTGTGTGTGACGTGAGTAGGTCTGTCTGTGTTCTGTGAAAGGTCGTGTGAAAGGCCTGGTGAGGACAAGATTGGGCAGGTCCAAAATGGGCTCAGGTGTAGCAGATAGACGGCTGTTGCATCGTCAAGTAGCAAAAGGTCAGGGTCCGGGGTAATGCCAAAGGAAAGGGGTAAAGAGGGGAGACTGGAGCTGTATTTCTTTAATACTTATTAATAACTATTTTGAATATTTATTAATTAATTAATATTCATGTGGCCACGTTGGGTCTTAGTTGCAGCATGTAGGCGCTTCCTTGCATCCTGCGGGATCTTTTGTTGTCTTCTAGCACAGACTCCAGCTGCGGCACTCGAGCTCAGTAGTTACGGCATGTGGGATCTTAGTTCCCCACCTGGGTATCAAACCCATGTACCTGCAGTGGAAGGTGGATTCTCAATCACGGGACCACCAAAGAAGTCCCTGGAGAAGTCTCTAGGATGTAACATCAGCAGAACTTGATAACTAGATACAGAGGTCGAGAGAGAGGTCGAGAGAGAGAGAGAGAGAGAGAGAGTGTGTGTGTGTGTGTGTGTGTGTGTGTGTGTGTGTGTGTGTGTGTGTGTGTCCGTCCCAGGGGAAGCTCCTGGGTTTCCTCCTGGCTGGCTCAGCTAGGCAGATAGAGCTACCAGTCAGCGAGCCAGGAAGCGCTGTAAGAAAAGCTGGCTGGGAAGAAACTTAAGTGCTTGGTCTTAGACACCTTGAGCTGGAGGAATATGTAACACGTCCCAAAAGAGATGTCAGGTAGGCAGCTGGATGTCTCAGTCGGGAACCCAGAGAGTGCTGTGTCATCGGCAGGCTGAGTGCACCTGCCCGTCAGAACAACCAGCTGGGCTGGCTTCTGAGCTTACTCGCTGTGCTTCAGGGATCAAACCGCTGACCCCTCTGGGACCCAGGGCCAAGTGTTTGATGAGGCTGGACCAAAGCTCTGTGCTTGGGGATGAAGTATTGCCCAAACATCCCAGAGTCCTCCTCACCTCACCCCCCGACCCCTACCAATGCCAGAGAAAGAAGTTTCCCAGTTTGGGGAGTGTTCTAGGTTCTGTCAGGCTGGTCATTGGGATGTTCTCGTTGTGACCCTGGCTGTCCCCTCCTTGGCCAGATCATAGACCATCCTAAGTATTCCAGATTCCTACTCTTGGGTGAAAAACTCCAGCCCCCCAGCCCTGTTAGAGTTAAAGCATGATGGGCTGCCTTGGCCCATGGTGAGGCAGATTCAACGAGGAGCGTTAAGGTCAAAGGTGCGAACTGGAAACAAAGATACTTCTTGCCGCTGACCCTCCAGGGTACTTTCCCCGATTTCCTTTAGCTTCCTTGTCCCTGGCTTGCCCTCCCCTCAACTCTCTTCTCTCTGAACTCTTACCAAAAATGTGTTGCTGGACATCCATGCTGTTTGCTTATTTCACAAACCACCCAGTTCTTGGTGATGTCCCAGGTACTACTGACCTTGCTTGACCAGAGTAGCCCATGGAATCATGCCTTCCTAGAATGCTTTGATACCCAGCTCTCTTTCCTGGGTCCTGGCCAAGGGCTAAGAACCACTCAGGGCTCATTATTAATGTCTGCTACTTAGACACTGGAGAGGTAAAAGGAACGAAACCCAATCCTGGCCCTGGAGAAACTTCCTGTCAGTGGTTTTGAAGTGTGATCTGGACTATTTTTCCCTAAATTCATTACCAATCTTTTCACCATATTGAAATCTCTTCCATTCACTCACTTAACTTTTGAGTTTGTCCCCCCAAATCATAGATACAGTGGTTATCATTGATGAAGTCTTATTGTGTACCAGTGTTGGTGCCAAGCGCTTCATATCCCTTTATTTCATTTAATCTTCAAAACAATGGATGTGTGGACACAGGGGGAAGGGGGAGGTAGGATGAACTGGGAGATTGGGACTGACATATACACCACCAAGCGTAAAATAGATAGCTAGTGGGAAGCTGCTATATAGCCGAGGGAACACAGCTCTTATCACTGTGGAATTAGGTTAGAAATCAATATCTAAAGATATTTGAAAATAACCCACATATTTTCAAGTGCAATGTGACATTTACCAAGACAAACCCAGCTTTGGCAACTATCAATTACAGTACAAGTACATTAATAACATAATGAAAGTGAATCGCTAGCTGGGGGCTCTAGTACCCTTCAAGTTAAAGGTCTAACGCAGAAGTCAATGAAGCCGTCAGTAAATAGATAGGTACTTAGATTTTTTACATATGTTTGAATATCCTCCTTAAGACCAGAGAGCCTAGATCAGTGCCAACACTTGCATTTGTCAGTGACCTTTAACGAAGGGAAAAGGTTTTTAGCAAACAGTGAAGCAACACTTTTGAGAAGATAAGAGTAAACTGAAGCAAAGTTCATTATTTTCTAAATTTGCTTTCCTGCTGAGAACTTTGGGTGTTGGCAGGGCTGTATTCAAAGGATCGATCCCAGCCCTTCAGGTCCAAGCAAACCCTCCTTTCTACATACCTGTCTTATCCCTGGCTTCCCTCTCGTCATCCTTAGCAACCATGCATAGCAACCATGTCAGACTTTCCCTCACCTCGGGGTCTTTATCCTTGCTCTTCTCTCAGCTTGAATCTCCTTTCCCCTTCCTCTTCACCTGGTTAAGTTTTATTCATCCTTCAAATTCTAGAAAGTCTTCCCTAGTGCCCCCAGCACACCCCCCACCCCCACCTCCCTGCATGCACCATCTGGGGCCAGTGACTCTGTGTTCCTGTGACACCAGACGCGTGACACGGCAGGACTGCCCTTATCCCACCCTCCACCTCCCCAGGCTCCTAGTCTTCCCAGCAATGAGCATAGAGCGTGGCCCCCGGAAGGTATTAGCAAATAACACGGTGGTCCGTTGCTTAAACATCTTAGCAAATAGTTGTATGTCGAAAAAGAATCAATCAGTCGACCTAAGAGAGAAATGGAAAATTTTATGTGAGCCAAACTTGAGGATTATAACCCAGGAAGAGCATCTCAGAAAGCTCTGAGAGCTGTTCCATCTTTGGAAGTCAAGGCATTGTTAGGTAAATTTTTTGAGACTGTACATCCAATGATGTGTTATTGACAGTTTACATAATCTGGATCTAAGCAGCACCGTGGTGGGTCACGTGACCCCTTATAAGCTCAAGCTGAAACGCTGTCTTGTTGATGCTGGGAGAATCTTACCGAGCAATATGGTTGAGCAGGTATTTCTGACAATAGGGTGGTTTGGTCCATGAGTAATGCAGATAACACAGTGCACATTGGAGGTGGGAGGGAAAAGAGCAGAGAAGTTTTCTTTGTTTAAATTTTTCTTGTCTTTGTCGTAAAATATGAGTTTTATCTCACATGTAGAACCACTTGGTAAGTTCCCAGACTGTGTGCCAGGCCTCTAATGTGTATCATTCCTAAGCCTTACAACCACCTTGCAGAGTAGTTTTAATCACTCCTCCTTGAAGGAGAAGGCAGTTGGAGTTCAGAGAGCTTCAGTAACTTGTCAAAGGACACATACTTTAGAAAGAGACACAGTTTGGATGGGAGTTCACTGCTTCCCTGATAGCTCAGTTGGTAAAGAATCAGCTTGCAATGCAGGAGACCCTGGTTCGATTCCTGGGTTGGGAAGATCCGCTGGAGAAGGGATAGGCTATCCACTCCAGCATTCTTGGGTTTCCCTTGTGGTTCAGTGGGTAAAGAATCCTCCTGCAATGCAGGAGACCCTGGTTTGATCCCTGGGTTGGGAAGATCCCCTGGAGAAGGGAAAGGCTACCCACTCCAGCATTCTGGCCTGGAGAATTTAATGGATTATATAGCCCATGGGGTTGCAAACAGTCGGACATGACTGAGCGACTTTCACTTTCACTTTCCTTTAGGACATTCTGCCGTTTGTGCCAGCTCCAGGCTTCAAGTCGCCCAATTCTCTGTCATCTCAAATTTCAAACTCCGCACGCACAGGATGAGATTGTGGTCCTAGATGAGACATTTGACCCACTGGGTCTCAATTTGGTCAAGTGCAAAGCGGGGGTGGGAGAGTGGGGAGGAGGGGCGTATGAGCCCCTGGTTGCTCTGTGGGGAGTGGTGGGGTAAGTACACAGATCAGGAGAAGGTGGAGCTTCCAGCCCTGAAGGCAGCATCCCTGGGACAGAAGCCTGTCTAGGGCTTCAGGAAGTGTGCACAGGGCCTCCGAGTTTTCCAGACTGCATGTGCGAAGAGCCCCTGAGTCTGCCAGGCCTGTGGGTGTTTGATGTCTGTCTTGACATGGCCTCCTGCTCCTTCTAGGCTGACCCGCCCCCCGGAGGGGTGAACTCCGGCCATTCCTGGGGAGAAGGATCCCGCCGTGGGCTGCTCTCACCAGGTTCAGCCAGGCCGTCCTGCTCTCCGGGCTCCCGCAGAGGCTTCCCCGGTGTACCAAGCCTCCCCGGCCCAACCCAGCCTTCCTGCTCCCCTCCGAGGAGCTGTCCCACCGCCCAGTGGTCTGCTTCTCACGTGTGGAGCTGTGTCCGTTCCGCACCCAGAACGGGGAGCCCGTCAGCTGCAGTGGGGAGGCTGGGGTATCCCTGGAAAAGTGCCCTGGAAAGGGTAACAGGGCTCGGGGGGCACAATTTTATGTTTGTGACTTTAAAAATCACGTCCATTTCCTGAAGGAAATCAACCCTGAATATTCACTGGAAGGACTGATGCTGAAGCTGAAGCTCCAATCCTTTAGCCACTTGATGCAAAGAGCTGACTCATTGGAAAAGACCCTGATGCTGGGAAAGATTGAAGGCAGGAGAAGGGGACGACAGAGGATGAGATGGTTGGATGGCATCATCGACTCAGTGGACGTGAATTTGAGCAAGCTCCGGAGATAGTGAAGGACAGGGAGGCCTGATGTGCTGCAGTCCGTGGGGTCACAGAGAGTGGGCCATGACTTGGCAACTGAACAGCAACAAAAGCTGTAAGAGAACAAAGAAAACTGAAAGAAAGAAGTGCAAAGAGGTAGGATCTCCACAGGCCAGGGTGGGGCTGAATGCTCTCCAGGTTGCCGGGAGTCCTGCCACAGGGTGGCCCCCACCAATCAGAAGCCAGCTGGGGTGCAGTCGCCTCCCCCCTCCACGTCCCCCCTCCCCTCCCCCATACTCAGGCACCCCATTCTCCTTTGATCAGGAGCCCAGCAGCCACTGTGAATCCCTGTGGAAGGGACCTGGGCCCAGTCCCTGATGGCCCCCCTCCCTCCTGCCCCGAGACCCCCCAGATGAACCCTGAGATGGGCTGTGACCGGCCCGGGGAGAGCAAGGCGGCTGGCAAAGCAAGGCGTTTGATGTCAAAGCCTGCTTTGCAGCAGGAAACAAAACTTCACAAGGATTCAGGGGCCGGCCCCTCATCTGGCTTCCTTCCTTCCGGGCCCTGGTCTAGAATAAAGCTCTCCATCCCCGCATACCCCGCATTTTTCCAACCCCCACCCTCCCAGGAGGGGGGCTCCTCCCTTTCCCCAACACATCCTCTCCCACCAGGCCCCTGGCTTCCCTACCAGGGGGTGGGGTGGGGGGCCCACTTTCTGCTCAGGCTCAGGACACAGGGTCCTCACCCCTGCAGGCCTGAGGTGGAGCGGGAGCCCAGCCCCCTCCCCGCCCCCCTGTGCCCTCCACCCCGCTACCTGAGCTCAGGGGCCCCAGCACCTCGAGAAGGCAGGCAGGGAGAGTGTGGCCCAGCGGGGAATCTCCCTGGGCTGTGCTCTAGACAGTACATGAAAAGCATGCAAATGTGGTGCAAAAATAGCATGCAAATCAGCACATCTTCCACCAATTCATCCTCTATGTGCCCCTCCTCCCCCAAGGGTCCCATCACCCTTCAGATCCTGGAGGGAGAGGCTTTCTTACCCTCTCCACCTAACAGCCTCAGGGGCCTTTATTCTGCTCTCCCTCCTGACCCTTAACTCCAGCCCTCTGTCATCCTCGCCCCACACCTGACCTTTGGCAGTTTGAGAAACACAGTGTTTGCCACCTGGGCTGTAGCACCTTCAAAAGGGGCCTCTTTGTGGGCTCAGGCCCTAAAACAGTGATGGGATGGAGCAGGAGAGGAGGAGCCTTGCTGGCGAGTCCATTCATAGCTTCAGACCGCCAAGCACTTTGCTGTCGTTCAGTCGCTCAGTCATGTTGGACTCATTGCAACCCTGGGAATGAAGCACGCCTGGCTTCCCGGTCCTTCACTGTCTCCCAGAATTTTCTCAAACTCATGTCCACTGAGTTGGTGATGCCATCCAGTCATCTCATCCTCTGTCGTCCCCTTCTCCTCCAGCCTTCAATCTTTCCCAGCATTGGGGTCTTTTCCAATGAGTCAGTTCTTTGCATCAGGCGGCCAAAGTATTGGAGTTTCAACTTCAGCATCAGTCCTTCCAATGAATATTCAGGACTGATTTCCTTTAGGATGGACTGGTTGGATCTCCTTGCAGTCCAAGGAACTCTCGAGAGTCTTATCCAACAACACAGCTCAAAAGCATCAATCCTTCCGTGCTCAGCCATCGTTACAGTCCAGTGCTCACATCCGTACATGACTTTGCTCAAGTTCATAAACTCCAGGTAGGGGCTGGCCAGAGTGTTCTTTGCCTGTCACCTGGCTAGACCCCCTCGTATTATGATTACTGCTGCTAATGCTATTTTATCTTTAGGAGGAAGCCTCTGGACCCCAGAGAGTGGGATTCATGATAAAGAAGCAGAGTGGAGGACTCCCCTGGTGGTCCAATGGTTAAGAATCCACCTGCCAATGCAGGGGACACAGGTTTCATCCCTGATCTGGGAAGATTCCACATGCCAGGGGGCAACGCTGCGCCACAGCCACTGAAGCCAGCGTGCCCCTAGAGCCTGTGCTCCAAAGCAAGCGAAGCCACCAGAGCAGGAAGCCCACGTAATACAGCGAGAGGGTAGCTCCTGCTTGCTGTGACTAGAGAAAAGCATGAGCAGAAACAGACTCAGCAGAGCCAGAAGGAATTGATTAATTAATTTTTAAAAAGCAAACAGTGAAGTTTGATTATGATAATAGCTGCAGGGTATATACATATATCAGCATATACTTTGTACACCTTAAATATTTACAATGTTTAGTTGTCAAAAAAGGAGGAGGAGGAGAGGACTACACCGGGAGAGGAGGGATGGATATCATCCCTGAACTGCCGAGCTAATCAGCGTTTTTAAAGTTAAATGTGAAACAATGGCCTCAAGCTACCTGAATATTCCTTGGAAGGACTGATGCTGAAGCTCCAATATGTTGGTCACCTGATGCAAAGAGCCGACTCTTTGGAAAAGACCCTGAGGCTGGGAAAGATTAAAGGCAGAAGAAAGGTGAGGTTGAATGGCATCATCGACCCAATGGCCATGGGTTTGAGCAAACTCCAGGAGACAGTGAAGGACAGGGAAGCCTAATGTGCGGGATCCACGAGGTCTCAAGGAGTGGGACACACCTTAGTGCCTGGAGTAGTTTCACGGACACAGGTTCTTTCAGCGAGCTGCCTGGGGCGCAGGCTGCCCTGAACGGACAGCAGTGGAGCTCTGTCCCCTGTTCTCAAACCACCGGGCTGGGCGGGGGCCTCTGCCCCCACACCTGGTCCATGACTGACCCCTGTCGTGCCTCCTCCCCAGCCCCTTCCCTGAACTGGAAGAAAAGCCCTCACCCCACAGCCTTCCCCAGCTTGGCCGAGACTCAGACTGGGTCTGGCGACAGCTCTGGGGTAGGGAGGAAGCCCAAGGACCTGTTAGCCTGCCACTACCCAGGACAGGAAAGACTTCAAGCAGTTTCAAAGGCTCCGTAGCTGAGGGAAGGAAGCCACTTAGGGTGGGTTCCAAGGGCAGACCAAGGTCCATGCAGAGCAGGGAATAAATGAGAATGCCAGGCCTGGAGCCTTGAGGAAAGGATCCCAGGGCCTGCTTGAGGCTGGGCTATAGAGTCCAGACGGAGCTGAGAAGAGGACTAGATCTGCCCTTGAACCCAGCGCTCATGAACCATTGAACCCGTGGTTGCCACGCTGGCTATAGCTTCACGGCCTGGCCTCCAGGGTCAGGAGACAAGTGGCTATAAGCGACTCCACCTCGGGAGTCATTCCTGTGACTCCAAGTAGTACTCTATCCCCAAACCCCAAAGGGTGAAATTCTCTTCTCCATTCAGACTCTTATTTGTCGATTTATTTAAACTGAAGTAGAGTGGATTTACAATATTATATTAATTTCAGGTGTATAACATAGTGATTCAATATTTTTATAGATTGTATACTCCGTTTAAAGTTATTATCAAATATTGGCTGTATTTCCTGTGCTGTACAGTACATCCTTGTAGCTTATTTATTTTGTACATAGCAGTTTGTATCTCTTGGGGCGTCCCTTGTGGCTCAGACAGTAGAGAATCTGCCTGCAATGCAGGAGATCAGGTTCAATCCCTGAGTCAGGAAGATCCCCCTGGAGAAGGGAATGGCAACCCACTCCAGTGCTCTTGCCTGGAGAATCCATGGACAGAGGAGCCTGGCGGGCTGCAGTCCATGGGGTTGCAAAGAGTTGGACACAACTGAGAAATGAACACAACACTTTGTATCTCTTAATCGCCTACCCCTCTCTTGCCCCTCCCTGCTTCCCTCTTCCCAGTGGGAATCACTAGTTTATTTCCTAAATCTGTAACTCTTTCTGTTTTGTTATCCTCATTCCATTGTTTCATTGCTAAGATTCCACATGTGAGTGATAACATGCAATATTTGTCTTTCTCTGTCTGACTTCACTAAGTACCCTAGGACCCTCAAGGTCCCTTCATGTTGTTTCAAAAAGCAAATTGGCAGCCTTTTCAATGGCTGAGTGGGCCACCACCCGAGGGGTCACAAAGAGTCAGACATGACCAAGCAACTGGGCACGCATGCAGTGAAAGTGAAGTGAAGGTCGCTCAGTCGTGTCCAACTCTTTGGGACCCCATGGACTATATATACAGTCCATGGAATTCTCCAGGCCAAGATATGGGAGTGGGTAGCCTTTCTCTTCTCCAGGGGATCTTCCTAACCCAGGGATCGAACCCAGGTCTCCCACCTTGCAGGGGGATTCTTTACCAACTGAGCCACAAAGCAGGCCTGCACCCACGCAGTATTCCATTGGATCTGTATACCACAGCCTCTTTATCCACTCGTCTATTGATGGGCACTTTGGTTGCTTCCCTATTTTGGCTATTGTAAAAAGTGCTGCTATGAATACTGGGGTGCATGAATTTTTTTCATATTAGTGTTTTCTTTTTCTTCTGATATATACCCAGGAGTGGAATTGCTGGAAAGTATGATAGTTCTATTTTTAATTTTTTGAGGAGTCTCTGAACTGTTTTCCCCAGTAAATGCACCACTTTACATTCCCACCAACGGTGTACAAGTGTTCCATTTCCCTCACATCCTTGCCAACCCTTGTTATTTGTGGTCTTTTTGATGATAGCCATTCTGACAAAGGTGAGGTGATATCTCATTGTGGTTTTGACTTGCGTTTGTCTGCTGATTAGTAGTGTTAAACATCTTTCCATGGTGTCAAAGACTTTTAGAACAGTGACTCTGCAGCTTACCTGTGTCCACCCTTCAATTTATTTCTCACTGTAGTGCTTTCAGCTACAGTCCAAGCCCCTTTTTTCTTTTTCTGGGGGAGGGTGCTGTGCTGAGTATTCCCTGCCATGCCTCTAGTTGCAGAGTGTGGGCTCTAGAGTGAGCTGGCTGTAGGCTCTCTAGTCATGTGTGTGGGCTTAGTTGCCCTCAGGTATGTGGGATCACAGTTCCTTGACCAGGGATCAAACCCACATACCCTGCATTGGAAAGTGGATGCTCAACCACTGGTCCACCAGGGAAGTCCCACAAGTCTCTCTTTTCTCATTGTTTTCAGGAAAGAGAACACTGAATCCGAAAGGGATCTTGATAAAGTCAGGCACGTGGATTTCTTGCCCCACGCTGACCACCTCCAGGATCAACCCGGACAGGGTATCCCAGGGAAGCCTGCCTGCCCACACCTGAATCCTCCCTTTCAGAGCATAAGCAAGTCATGAGCTCACAGCCTGAGCTTTGCTAATGTCATTATGTGCTTCACCTGTTTAATCAGCAGGATATCCCTGGGAGGTATGTGCTCTGACCAGTCACATTTTACAGACAAGGACATTAAGGCTTGGAAAGTTCTGAAATCTTGCTCAAAGCTTTGCTGTTAGTAAAGGAGAGAGCTGGACCCAGAATCCGGGGTTTGACTGACTCCCTAATGACCACTTTGGGCTCCCTTTCGCTCATTCTCCCCAAGTGCTCCTAGATCATGGTGGCAGAAGTGAGCCCAGGAAATATGGACTTATACGACCTTTTCTTTTTTTGCCTCTGGGCCCCAGCAGAGCCTCACAACATCACATCGTGTGAGTGGCAATGATAGGGCAAGGGTCCCCGCTCCCGTTCGGCCCTCCCCATCCTCCTCGTCTGGTTACTGCTTCCTCTCCCAGGAGTCTAAAATGTTTAGCTCAGCCTCTTCAGTGGGGCAATGAACTTTACGGAATACCTCACCTATCTCTCCCCTCTCCCTGGGACCAGAGGAGATACTGGGACCAGTATCTGCTCAAAGCAGGTACTAATTCTGATAGAAGGGAAAAGTAAGGAACTAAGAGGAGAATTGGGAAAAATGGAACAAGACCAGATTCTACTGTGGCAGGTGGGTTTGCAGACATAAATTCACTCCAGCACAAATAACACTACCCACCTTTTATTTCTAGGCAGACTGGACCTGTTACCCTGACACCAGCACAACCCACTGGGGTCTCAGGAGCACCTGGGCTCTCCCACAGGCCCGTCCCTCAGACCCCCGCCCAGCCCGCTGGCAAACCCCAGCTTCCCACCCCCAGGCCTCCAGGCTCTGCAAGGAATCCTTGATTCTCGCTGAGAGTTTCACCAAGACGTGGAGACCTTGGTGAATACCCGATATTTACAGGGACTTCCCTTGTGGTCCATGGCTAAAACTGTACTCTGAAAGCAGGAGGCCTGGGTTTGATCCCTAGTCAGGGAACTAGATGCCACATGCCCCAACTAAGAGTTTGCCTGCCACAACTAAAAAAAGATCCCATATCCACAACCAAGACCCAGGCAGCCAAATAAATAAATGTATTTGTTTAAAGTTTATTTAAAAAATACCCAACATCTCCAGTCCTATCTTTTGGGAAATGGCCAGGAAAGTTGGAGGAGGATAAAGCATCAATCCTGTTGTTAAAAACTCTCCAGTCTCTCATACTGTTGGTGGAGTTATAAATGGGTTGAACCTGGAAATCTTTTTGACAAATCTACCAATGCTAAATATAAGCCTAATTTAGCAAAGTCATTTCTTGCATATAATCAACAGCAATTAGGATTTGAGTTCACTAAAAGACATATACGAAAGTGCTCATCATAGTTTTTTTTATAATAGCTCCAAACTGAAAGTAGCCCAGATGCCCATCAATAGGAGAATGGATAAATGAATTGAAAACATGCTGTAGAGTGGTGGGAAAAAAGTGAACGGCTGCATATGGCAACAAACATGAACCTCTGAAGCCAGACATAAAAGAGTGCTTATGATATGATTCCATTTCTGGGAAGGTCAAGAACAGGCAAAATAAAACATAGCAGTAACCTCTGCTAAGAGAAGAGTATTTTCTAGGAGAGTTCTTGAGAAGGCTTTTGGGGGTGCTGGAAATGCTCTCCATGTTTATCTGGGTTGGGTTTTCACAAGTATATACATATATTAGACATGTAAAAATCCGTCTGGCTGTACACTTGAGGTCTGTAAACCATCTTATGTAGGTTATGTCTAGCCACCTACCCACCAACCACCCCAAAAGAAGGCAATAAAAATACTGGATGATTTTGTTTTGATTTAGTTTGGAGTTTGTTTTTTTGCTTTGTTTCTGATAAATTTTCTGCTGGGAAAAATTAGTTGGTTGTCTCAAGTCTAACTTAAGCCCATCTTATTATACAATAGATAGACACTATTTCATCATTTATGGTGCAGGTGGAGACTAAGTGTTCCCCCAGTGTCTTGGCTGAGTCAGAGACTGGTTTCCTGTGAGTGTGTGCATGTGTGTGTGTGTGTGTGTGTGTGTGTGTGTTCAGTTACACTACAAACCACTATAGGGCAGAGGTGGTATGTGTGAAATTCCCTTTAACACTGTGCCACCCACAGAGAGATTTATTTCAACCAAATGTACAGGGTGCCTACTATGCACTATTCTGGAGACTGGGGATATAGCAATAACACTGACAAAAACCCCAGTTCTAGTGATACTAGTCAAGGCTTGTGGACAGTGGTGATGGGGGAAAGACAGATCCTGGGGGCCCTCACATCCTCCTGGGCCACAGCTTTTCCAATAGAGAACCAGAAGCTGCTCCTCTGCGGGCTGAAAAGGAGGGTGGGACATGTTGCAAGAGATCTGATGACCACAGTTGTTACCAGTCAGTGTTGGCACATGAGGTGGCTGTAGCCGGGGTGTGAGGTGGGTCACCTCCCCGGATCAGGAAGGAACTGTCCCTACCATGTCAGGTCATCAGGAAGGCAGGTGTGATGGGAGATTGGACAGCTGTGGAGCGGGCACATTTTGGTCCACTCCTGGCCCTATTGCCTCTTCTCTGAGTCATTGCAGGTAGGTCATTTAATCTCTGAGTCTCCTTTTTCTCATCTGTAAAATGGGATGGTCGTACTTACCTCAAAGGGCAGGTATATATTTATCATGAAATAAATAATAGTTATTTGAATTACAGTTGACCCTGAACAACATGCTTTGAACTTCATGGATCCACTTATGAGCAGA